TGTATGATGTTCGGACTGTATGTACATGTATGATGTTCAGACTGTTGTAACAATCTAAGTTTTTGTTTTAGCGAATAATCTAGTATAGCAGATAAAAATTAGGCAGGGTAGCAATGGAGTGTATTTTATTAAAACAAATACATTATTCACAATTCTTATTTATTCAAAGTGTTGTTTTCTCAATTTACTAATGAACAACATGGCGTGTATTTATAAATGTTACAATTCAAAAGAAATATACTTTTATTGATCGTCTTGTAATGTGTACAGAATTGAAGTAATGAAATATGTATGTTTTGTAGACTTCAGATCATTGTACAATCTCCCGTACCGACTGAGCTACGTCATCAATGGATGTTTCCTGACACAACTGCTACAGTTTCCTGCCTCATATAGTTAATGAAGGTTACTGTGTATATGTACAGCACAAATGTCAGTGATCTACACATAGTTATCAACATATTTTACCGTTTTTATTCGTAAGGATATAACTTTAATTATTTATTTCATGCAATGCAATTAATATAATGGGTAATAGAAAAGAAACTAGGACAAAAGGCAGGAAATTACCGATTTATATGTTGATAAAATGTACTTTGTTAAATAAACAAGAACAGTTATGTTAATGATATATCAAGAATACACTATTATGTCAAATGTCGATCTTGTGTACGATTGACTCTACAAGTCATACAAGTTGAAACACTTGGATGAAATTACTCTGACCTGATCCGTTTGTTACCACCAGTTTATCACCACAAACAGATATTGCTATTGGGTATGTGATACCGTCCACTGCCGTTAACAGTTCCCGGACGTTAGTCCCGTCCCCGGATATCTGTACCACGTTGTTGGAGTTGTAACCACATACATAGACGTTACCTTCCACGTCGACGTCCACTCCATACGCATGCTTAACTACACCAACCTTCAACACGTCCGTGTACTTGTTGTCAGTAGACAACCTACCAATCGCCGTACTGCCAGTACTGTCGGTATGATGGGCGATAAAGAGCTGTCCGTCCTTGGAATCATGTGACAACGCGTATACATTGCCAGTATATCGATATAACGTCTTGGTCGTCCCGTCGTTCTTAACACTGCACACTTCGGATCCTGTACTCACGATAAACTCATCATCTCTGTATGTTATACCGTAATATCGTGTTTTTTTGTTTATTACAGACGACAGTGTAAGTTTGGAGGGTGTGACAGTCACTACACGTATACCTCCGGGACTCGGTATAGCGGCCGCCACAGTGGTGTTATCCACCATACACAGATCCCAAGGATTTCCATCCAATTTTAACTCGTCCACAACATCCCCTGCGTCGTTAATTAACTTAATATTATTATTGTTTCTATCTCCCACCACAATTCTGCCGTCAGGTAAGTATACAACACCACGGAGAGCACAATCAAATTGATCAGACGGACATATTATGTTCAACTTTCTTATTTCCTTCACATTACATTGGGATAAAGGTTTGACGAGAGTTGGGACACTTAGTAAATGTTTTTGTTGCTTTCTGACAAAGATTTTACCAAAGTTCAGACTTGTCACGTCCGAATCGATTTCATGTTCAATACTGACAGTTGAAATCGACATCTGCATTTCTTTCACTAGATCCTTACAAGCCTCGAGCTCCGTCTGACCTTTCTGGTAAAGCCGGATCGTGTCCATATGGTCGTTCCTCTGTAGAGCTGTAGCGGACGATTCTAATGTATTCTGTATAGCGACCTTCAGCCGTTCACACTTCTGTGTGGACACCTTCAGATTTTCTCTTTCCTGTTTGTACGCCGTGATTACGTCATCTGTGATTTCCTTCTTCATCTCTCTGATACGTTTATCCATACGTTCCTGCAGGTCGTCGATGCTTTTCAGTACCGCATCTTTGTCGTCTGCAATGTTCTGTTGTCGTAGATAAAAATCCTTTATCATAGATTCCATGTCGTCTGCTCCTTGCTGTAGATATGTCTTTCTTTCCTCTAGTTGGGAGCTACTATTCAGTTTCTCACAGTAATCCTCTGTTGTGGACACGTTGTCACATTTCCTGTGACCAACAATAATACATTTACTGCAACCCAAGGACTTGTGATCCTCACAATAATAAGCAATCTCATCCTTGTGTTTGTCGCATTTTTTGTCAGATGTGTTTTGCCTCAGTTGCCAATTCTCAGAAGAATTCATATCTACGATATCACAGCCAACGTGGATATCATCATGCAAATCTACTTTACAAGACTCACAGAACAATGACTGTGTAGTTTTACACCAGAATTGTGCAGGTACCAGCGTTCCCTTCCTCCTTTGGCAAGGCACGCAGTAATGTTGCTCTGTCGTCCTGTTTCTCAGTTGTATCATCTCTATGGCAACGGTGTCGGTCGGGAACTGCTGGGCCCATTTATCTTTGTCCTCTGTTTTGTCCACGGGGTGAGTTAGGGTCCTACAAACCGGACAGATAAAGGAAGTCGCCGTATCACTCGTCCCTGACACCTCACTGACGATGTAGCTACTCAAACATTCCTCACATCGACTTTTTAAGAAATAAATATTTTAATTTCCGAAACAAACAATCTAACTTAATTCTACATTTGTTTGACCAAGACACAGTTTTACGGTCACAGCGTTTATGATAAATTTAATGAAAATTACCAAGCTTGAAGAAAATTGGTGAAAGTATTGTTTTCTTTGTAAGAGTTGTCTCCCTTGTGTTTGAAGCATACTTCATGTATCATTTGATTATAACTACGATACGATAATGATAACGTGGCCAAAGTACGTGTATCTAACGTGTTTACGATGAAACAAACACATTTGGTCAGTAGCAGTTTTTAGGTGGACTCGGCTGCAGCACGGGTGACTTAGAACCTTCGCTTGACACTGCCGGGAGGGGAGGGTATGCTCGTACCACTCTCCCCTGTGAGGTAAGCGTAGGGCCGTGGTATCGGGCTTATCTAACGTCCCTATATTTATACCCGCTAATCAACCTGGTCTATCTAATCGAACTGGCAGCTGATAACAGTAAAGACAGTGGCGACTGAACACACCGGCACCGACACATATAAACGAAAACGAGCAGTACATTAAGGCACGTATCGCAATATATTTAGTAAAATGTCTCGTAATCAAATAAACTAACAATACTTTTTCGCAATAAATATCAAAACGTGTCCACGTTATCTGACTTAAAAGAACGTGATAGCAGAAATATGTTACGTTAGATATTACATCTGTTAACAATGTAATTCATGAGAGATACTTTTCCTAAAAATACATAACAAGAGATCTCAGGGATATTGGCACCCATCGTCGTACCGTATAGGAATCAACATATGAAATTTGATAAAGATCTGTCAAGCACTTTAGAAATAGTGATAACAAAATTGAACTGTCGAAATTCAAGATGGCTGTTCAGTGGAAGTCCTATATTTTCCAATCAGTCCCAAAAACCAATCTGTATAACTAGACACAATGAGGCCCCTACATCTGAAATTTGAAAAAAAACCACCATCACTTTCTGAGAAATAGTGCTTACAAAATTCTTTTTTCATAGTTCAAGATGGCCACTTGCCAGCTATCTTGGTTTTCCTATTAGTCCCAAAATTCGATATGCCAAAATCGGGACAGACCATGGGGAACTCTTCAAGGAAAATTCGAGAAAGAGCCTTCTTGTACGTTCCTAGCAATAGCGCTAACAATCTTTAACTCTCATAATTCTAGATGGTTGTCATAAATGCGATCGGCGTTACTAAGAGCAACGGGGAACCGTTAGGTGTAATTTAAGAAGGATCCATACAATACCGTGAAATAGCGCTTCCAAGAATTATTTAAGGACGGACAGACGGACGACGGACGAAGTGACACATGTATTGACATGCGGACAACGGACCACGGACGATGGTTTATCTCAACATCTAACCATCATCAGATATATATAACAGTGTTACGCAAATCGCGAGTTTGGCTGTAGGCCTACATAGCGCATGAGTTCCGAGCTCGAATCCGCGTTGGTGTGTATTTTGATCCGCCTACTCTTACAGATACACGCTACATTAGAACTATTGTGTTTTAGGTTTTCTTTAGATTTGTTTATTTTATGATATAAATGCCTGTGATTGGGTGTTTAGTAGATAACTGATATAGTATGACTACTAAATGTGTAAGTGATAACGACACGTGGACAGTTAATATGTAGAACTGTTTATCGCTGATATGGTCGTTTTACGACTCTTATATAGGCCACAAAACGATACAGATTTGTTTCAGGTACCCCAACCGACCTTAGTTTTTACCTCCGACACTAACAATTTTATCTCACTCGAACACTCATTCGAATGCGCCGAAAATCGTTCATTAAATTCAATATGATATGGACACGAATATAATATTATCTTTTTCACATAACTATCACAAATTGTAAATTGTTATGAGCTGACTCTATAAAGGTCAAAATTAAAGTACTACGATTGTAGTATTGTCGTGCGACGCAGTGCAAAGTAGTTTCACACTTTTTTTAATAATGAACAGTTTTCAATGCAATAAAAATGTTAGTGACACAGATTTGTCAAGATGGCGGGTCAAACCCGATTGATGTCTTTTACATTTTCAAAATGTATGTACATGTACATGTTTGGGAAATCACCACCAGTGTGAAATTGTTATCAAGAATGAAAATATTTGTTATTTCTTTAAATACACGTGTGTAATACCATATTAATTACATGGCCGTATGACATAATAAAATGGGTCAGTTTTGTGATAAATATAATGAACACCTGATGTCAAATCAGCTGCTTCAAGTACGGGAACCGTTACTAAAACCTGTCCCACCCTACCCCATAGTTATGTTCGAGGGCCCCTTACATTTTCTGGCTTCGTGTTGCTTCTTATTCAACAGCATCGTCTCCAATAACCCCTACCCCCACACACACCCCTTGCCTCCCCTACCACCCATCTAACCCAGAGTGCCACCCTTGAAGCAGTTGCTCCAAGCTAAGACCATCCAGGCNTCAAATAATGCACGGAGCTTGTATAAAAAAAATCTGGGGCTACGCCCCACACATCCCATACGGCATCCTAGCAAATATTGTGGGTTTCCGTTATCTGATATTTTTACTATATTATCTTTATTAAAGCAATATTTGTTGGCATCGCTACGCTCGTCTACTTTGTATCTTGACCCTAAAGTGTGTTTTTTATTTTACCACCTCCGCAAAACCCAAAGTTGCAACTTGCAACGCTCGGTGGAAATATACTAGCATAAGTTGCATAATTATATTATTGACCGCTCGTTATAGATGATCTGAAAATTAATACTTTTTATTGTAACCTTCCTTACCGCCCGGGCGACATTAATCATATCATTATACAAGAACGATAAAGGTTTTTTTCGGTTGACAATATTATGTATAATTGACTAAACATATCCATTCAATTATTTTGGTATCATCTATACAAGTTAAAGTAAAAGCTTTTTATCTGATGGAAGCTGTAAACCTAACAATGCATTATAGAACTGATACAGTGTTTCGTGGATATATTTCACAGGCAATGCAACGCGGACATCAAAAGGTGCCGCACCCTTGTTTTTAAAACAAATACATTGTCCGTCGACACTCACAGTGATCAATAGTAAAACTAAATTGAAATATACTTTTACAAATTCGAAAATATTTACATCTGGTATCAGGGCTTTCTAACTGTTTAGTTCAGCTATGGCTGTAGAAACAAGTGGAGTGGATATTCTATCCACAAATCTAATTACTGCCGACGTGCTTGATATTGACAAAACTCTATGGAAAACCCTGAAAGCTACAGGGAATGGCGATTGTCTTTACAACAGCGTTTCCATTTTAATGAAAGGTTAGTAGTTGTCTTCCTTTTATGCTGAGGTATTCTTTAAACAGGCGCAGACCATTTATTTTATTTGGTTTTAATCTTTAAGTTAACTTCATGCACAAAAACATTTTTTTCGAAAGTTTTAACAGCCCTCCTCCCTTTAATCTAATCAAGAAATATTTTTCAAATTGCATTGACATTTTTGTGTATACACATAATATGTAGCTAGGCAACACACATATTTGACTGACCAGGGATTTTCTTTCCAGTACAAAAAGAAGTCTTTGGGCCATACTTAAAATATGTCCTTTACTTCTTGTTAATTAAACATAAAAACCATCCTCAGAACACGGGAAATCGTTTCTGAGACGTTCTAGAAAACACATTTTTTGGGGGGGAAATCCCCCAAACCCCCCTTACAGGAAGGGGAAGACCCCCTCCAAAACCCTCCCCCTCTTCGCGCTACGCGCTCGGGGAAGGCAGCACACCATTGACTATTGAGAAAAAATTATCGGCCCCCCCTATTAGGAAATCCTGGATCCGCCCCTGCCATCGTGTGGGCGATTTGCAACATGGACACAGTTCAGTGATTCTTCTAAATATCACAGTAGGTGTGGATGTGTGGTGTTTGTGTGACTCTGATGTTTCTTCTACTAAGTTGATTGAGTCATTTGTCTAACATTACAATCACCACTGGGAAATACTTTACGATTAAATCAATATCCTCGTAGTAAATACACAATATTCACATGTTTGTGTGTTATACGTGATTCATACGTTATGTAAAATAAAATCAGTAAGCAGGATACATAGTTGTACTTACAGCTTCATCGATGTGTTCGAATCTTTGAATGACGAGGTGTGTCCACCCCTCTGAGTCTCCGATGATGTATCAGCTACCTATGGAACGTGACCCTATCAACTAACAACAAGGCCGTAATACCGGGGTGACCCGATCAACTAACAGCAAGGCCGTAATACCGGGTAGGATGTATCCGGATAACTCAAGGTCTATTTAGTACACAGGCCTATGCATTGTATAAGATGTGGAGTATCAAAATAGGTGTTTTCTAGGTATTACATTGTATAATATGTCATTAAAATAATTTAAAAAATCCTAAAACGACATCAGCCCGGACTCAAGTTTCTTGCTCTTATCACTGATGCTAAATTACTCTGAATGTTGTACGATTGATATCGATAAATCTTTTTGAACAAATAAAATTTGTTTATTTTCTTAAACAGCTTTAGAGCTAATTAGTAATTAGCATAATAAAATTCGACGAATCAGACAATACGTTATCATTATAGTAGAATTTGATGGGTTGAATTGATGACCTACTTTTGATAAAACTGATAATCAAAGTATCTTAGCTTTAGGCATTTTGCTTCGACATTGTTATTCCAAATATTTATGTGTATAAATTTACATGTAAAACATATTTTGTGATAAACACGACAGACTACAAAGTGAAATTATCTAACGTTAATATTTTGTATAAATATAATTGAATTTAGACATAAACGAGAAATGACTCTGCAAAAGATAAACATAGTTTTAAATGTGTGTGGAAATAAGTCAGGAATAACCGAATAACTAAAAAAAACAATAATGATAACAAAAAGAATGAGGGCATTTTTGCCCAAAATCATCAGATACTAATCAGGTTATCAAAATGCCCTTTGTCCTTTCTTTTATCATCTGTCCGTAATTGTGTATCTCTGTAAACAATTCTTGTAAGCGCTAGTTCTCCGAATGATGTGAATAAAACTTTCTCAGACGTCACATGCAGGTTCCCCATAGCTTCGAGTCGGAATCGGAGATCATCTTCACTGAAGAAAAATATATTTTGCGTGCATAAAGGAAGTTTCTATAAGAAAAATTATCCATCTTTCCAACGGTGTAAACATTTTTGTACATCAAGTAGAAATGTGTTTTTTGATTGAAGAATAACAGTTGGGGACGATTTATCGACATCGAGAGTTTTTCACCCTTCTCGTGTATACTGTCATTGGGGATGACATATTTATCAAAAGTAAATCTTAATCCCTAAAATGTTACTCTCAACACCTCATTTTAGGTCTAAACATTTTCAGGTCCCTGTGGTTGTGATACAGTTCGTGAATATGACGCCGCCTATATCGAGTAAAATGGCGTGTAAATACACGATGTCGTTGCTATATTCGTGGCATATAGATATCACACAATTGTTAGACTTGTAGGTAGATGAATATCAACAGAATGTATATCCCGGAGGGAGGTTAATTTCTACATAAAATATTAACATAAAGTTTATCTCGGAGAGATGGTTCATATCTAAAAAGAAATGTCTCTGAGTGTAGGTAGTGAAAGCATCATCAGAGAGTATTTCGGACACTGGGTAGAGACACATCAACAGAGAAAGGTATAGAAAACACCAACAGCAAGTAGTTCGGACGGTAGGTACAGAGAACATCAACAGAAAGTAGTTTGGACGGTAGGTATAGAGAACATAAACAGGGACGGTAGGTATAGAGAACATCAACAGGGACGATAGGTATAGAGAACATCAACAGAGAGTATCTCGACAGTAGGTATAGAGAACATCAACAGCAAGTAGTTCGGTCGGTAGGTATACAGAACATCAACAGAAAGTAGTTCAGACAGTAGGTATAGAGAACATCAACAGAAAGTAGTTCGGACGATAGGTATAGAGAACATCCACATCAAGTAGTTCGGTCGGTAGGTATACAGAACATCAACAAAAAAGTAGTTCAGACAGTAGGTATATAGAACATCAACAGAAAATAGTTCGGACGGTAGGTATAGAGAACATAAACAGGGACGGAAGGTATAGAGAACATAAACAGGGACGGTAGGTATAGAGAACATAAACAGGGACGGTAAGTATAGAGAACATCAACAGGAACGGTAGGTATATAGAACTTCAACAGAAAGTAGTTCGGACGATAGGTATAGAGAACATCAACAGAAAGTAGTTCGGACGTTAGGTATAGAGAACATCAACAGCAAGTAGTTCGATCGGTAGGTATAGAGAACATCAACAGCAAGTAGTTCGGACGGTAGGTATAGAGAACATCAACAGCAAGTAATTCGGACAGTAGGTATGGAGAACATCAATAAATAGTATCTCGGTCGGCAGGTATAGAGAAAATTAATAAAAAGTATCTCAGGCGGCAGGTATGGAGAAAATCAATAAAAAGTAGCTCGGACGTTAGTCATCGAAAACATCAATAAAAAAGTATATCGGAAGGTAGGTATAAAGTACATTACTAAAAAGTTTCTCGGACGGTAGGTAAAGAGAAAATCACTAAAAAAGTATATCGGTCGGCATGTTAAAAAGCATCTTGGACGACAAGTAAATATAAAATAAATAAAAGTATAGCGGACGGCAGGTATATAGGACATCAATAAAAAGTATATCGGTCGGCATGTTAAAAAGCATCTTGGACGACAAGTAAATATAAAAAAAATAAAAGTATAGCGGACGGCAGATATATAGAACATCACTAAAAAGTATCTCGGTCGGCAGGAAAAGAGAACATTAATAAATGTTTAGCGGACGGCAGGGAAGTAGAACATCAATCAAAAGTATCCCGGACGACAGGTAAAGATAAAATCAATAAAAAGTAGCTCGGACGTTAGTCATCGAAAACATCAATAAAAAAGTATATCGGAAGGTAGGTATAAAGTACATTACTAAAAAGTTTCTCGGACGGTAGGTAAAGAGAAAATCACTAAAAAAGTATATCGGAAGGTAGGTATAAAGTACATTTATAGAGAACATAAACAGGGACGGTAAGTATAGAGAACATCAACAGCAAGTAGTTCAGACGGTAGGTATAGAGATCATCAACAGCAAGTAGTTCGATCGGTAGGAATAGAGAACATTAATAAATGTTTAGCGGACGAGGTATAGAGAACATTGATAAAAAGTATCTCGGTCGGCACGTATAGAGAACATTAATAAATGTTTAGCGGACGGCAGGGAAGTAGAACATCAATCAAAAGTATCCCGGACGACAGGTAAATATAGCATCAATAAAACGTATCTCGTACGACAGGCAAAGATACCATCAATCAAAAGTATCTCTGACGGCAGGTATAGAGAAAATTAATAAAAAGTATCTCAGGCGGCAGGTATGGAGAAAATCAATAAATAGAGAACATCAACAGCAAGTAGTTCGATCGGTAGTTATAGAGAACATCAATAAATAGTATCTCGGTCGGCATGTAAAGATAATATCAATAAAAATATCTCCGACGAAAGATATAGAGAAAATTAATAAAAAGTATCTCAGGCGGCAGGTATGGAGAAAATCAATAAATAGAGAACATCAACAGCGAGTAGTTCGATCGGTAGTTATAGAGAACATCAACAGCAAGAAGTTCGATCGGTAGGAATAGAGAACATCAACAGGAACGATAGGTATAGAGAAAATTAATAACAAAACATCTCGTCGGCAGGTAAAGAGAACATTAATAAAAAGTATCTCAGGCGGCAGGTATGGAGAAAATCAATAAAAAGTAGCTCGGACGTTAGTCATCGAAAACATCAATAAAAAAGTATATCGGTCGGCAGATAAAGATAGCTTTAATAAAAAATATATTGGACGACAGATATAGAGAACATCAATCAAAAGAATATCGGACTTTAGGTATAGAGAATATTAATAAAAAGTATCTCGGACGACAGGTAAATATAACATCAATAAAACGTATCTCGTACGACAGGTAAAGATAGCATCAATCAAAAGTATCTCGGACGACAGGTAAAGATAACATCAATAAAAAGTATCTCGGACGACAGGTAAAGATAACATCAATAAAAAGCATCTTGGACGACAAGTAAATATAACATAAATAAAAGTATAGCGGACGGCAGATATATAGAACATCACTAAAAAGTATCTCTGACGGCAGGTATAGAGAACATCAATCAAAAGTATATCGGACGTTAGGTATAGAGAATATCAATAAAAAGTATATCGGTCGGCATGTAAAGATAATATCAATAAAAATATCTCCGACGAAAGATATAGAGAAAATTAATAACAAAACATCTCGTCGGCAGGTAAAGAGAACATCAATGAAAGGTATCTCGGTCGGTAAGTATAGAGAACATTAATAAATGTTTAGCGGACGGCAGGGAAGTGGAACATCAATCAAAAGTATCTCTGACGGCAGGTATACAGAACATAACTAAAAAGTATCTCGGACGGTAGGTAAAGAGAAAATCACTAAAAAAGTATATCGGAAGGTAGGTATAAAGTACATTACTAAAAAGTTTCTCGGACGGTAGGTAAAGGGACATCAATGAATGTGTCTTGAACGGCAGGTATGGAGAAAATCAATAAAAAGTAGCTCGGACGTTAGTCATCGAAAACATCAATAAAAAAGTATATCGGTCGGCAGATAAAGATAGCTTTAATAAAAAATATATTGGACGACAGATATAGATTACATCTACAAAAAGTATCTCGGATGGCAGGTATAGATAACATCAATAAAAAGTATCTCAGGCGGCAGGTATGGAGATAATCAATAAAAAGTATTTCGGATGGTAGTCATCGAGAACATCAATAAAAAGTATCTCGGACGATAGGTATAGAGAACATCAATAAAAGGTATCTCGGAC